AGGAGGCGCAGGGCTGTGACGGCGCCCGTGCCCACAGCCCCCCGCCCGCCCCCGCTCCGCGGGCTCCTCACCGCCTGGCCACGCGCTGCATCACCTGCACCTCCTTCATGCGCTGCAGCTCCGACATGTAGGCCAGGATGCGGCTGTTGCAGACCAGCAGGCTCTTGGTGGCCTCCAGCGCCTGCTCGCGCTGTGTGCAGGCTGCCAGCAGCTTGCAGGTGCCCTCCCGCATCCGGATCTCATGGTCGATCTTCTTCTGGATGTCCGTGTCCTGCAGGAGGGCGGCAGGATGGGAACGGGGTGGAGGGTCCTGGCGGGGTCAGGACGTTGCAGGTGGGAGCGCTGGCCTCGCACTGGGACAGCTGCCCCGCACAGGGCAGCAAGGGGGGCCCCTAGGCAGGCTGGCACTGTCCCCCCTTCCCTGCTGTCTCCCTTCCCATGCCGTGGTCACTCCAGACAGGCCCTACAGGGACCAGGACACATGGGCGCACGAGGATGCTGGGCCATGCCAGGACCTGCACTCCCAGCTGTGCTCCCTGACAGGGCTCCGGCTGTGCCCATGTGGCTCCCGGAGCCCCAGGGAGGACACCGGTCCCACGGCCCCGCTGCCGCCCCAGGGCCCGGCCTTCCTCCCCAAACAGTCTCTGCTGCACTCCCTGGAAAAGCACCGTTTTCCCGGGGGTGGCCAGCCACCCACTGCCGGCGGGGGGGGGTGCTCGTCCTCCTATCCCCACCAGCACCCCCCCACAGCATGCAGGATCCGCAGATGTGTCACGCACGTTGCAGGCATGTCATGTGACGCATCTGTGTGACACATGCCCCACACAGGGGCCAGGTGCCCCAAGGGACATGTATGAACCCCACGGACATGTCACACGCCCCACAGATGTTTATGCATCCCATGGACATGCCAGGTGCCCCCCAGACACCCCATGGATGCATCCTGCACCCCAGAGACACACCATGCACCCCACGGATGCATCTCACACCACGCAGACACGCTGCCTGCCCCAAGCCACCCCGGCCTGTCCCCACAGCACTACCAGTGGCCATCGTGGAACTAGGGCTGCAGTGCAGCCCCATGAGGTGCCGGAATGGGGGCTGCCCTTCACCCCAAGCAGCAGCAGGCATCTCCCCATGCCCCCAGTGCAGGAGGTGTGTGGCAGCTGGGGGGGATGCA